ATTGATTAGAACCATTCTGTAGGGTTGCATTTATACTCCGCGCTCTCCCATGAAAGCTGACGGGCGGCGGGCGCTTACGTCGGTGGCGGCCCACAGATCGGCGATGATGTCCCATTTAATTCGAGCTTTCATGATGCATGTTTTGCCGAATTTTTTTCGTATATTCATAGTTTTCATCTTTTACACTTATTGTTCATTAGTTGTTGAGTACGGTGTCAGTTTTTACGGATTGCTTCCGTATTTTTAATTCGCGTGAGAAAGTCGTTACTACGGAAATCTTTCGGAGCAAGGGAACCAAGGTAAAAGCAAGGGAGCAACACTCCAAAAAAGAGCTGTACGTGACCTGAAGTACAAAGCACAGCTGGGCGTGGCCGAACCAAGTCACAACGAAGACCCTATGCAGACAGCTCCTATTCACCTAGAAATAGGAGAGCAGCACCAGCGCTGGCATGGGCACGTTAGTAGGATCTAGAGACCGCCGGATCACTCGATACGAAAGTGATGTAGTTTTTCGCTCAAGGAAAGTGACTACTGGGAGCCCCATAGCAGAGGTGGCGGAAGCCGATCAGGAAGGACCTTGCCAAAGTCAGAAGATATCGTAGATAGGAGGGAAGAAGAAAATGAAGAAGAGATGATGATGATGAAGATGGTAGAAGTCAAAGAGTAGCAAAAGAGCTCTACAGAGAACCAAATTCGGAACTAATGAGAAGCACTGGGCAACAGTTGTAAAAGCTGTGATCAATTCAATAACGAAAAAATTAAACAAAACACGCGTTTCAAAGAAAAACAAAATGCGCATCTAAAAAAATTTAATGCAGTCCCGTGCGCAGCCCGCCCCGTGAGCTTCTCCCGCCCATCCCCTGCCACCCAATCGGAAAAGGGTATATCTATAAAGTGACTGGATAAAAGTCTGGAGAGATCTACAAGAAATAAAAAATGAGGAAGTGATTAAAGGCACCGTTTACGATAAATTAAGGGTACCCTTTTTTGACGGGAATTCATAGAACTACTCTAGAATAAAGCGATAACAACGAAAAAAGCGCAAA